AGCGCGGTCATAGGCCTCAAACATAGATTTAAGAATAAAACTCAGCTGCATTTACAAACGCAGACTGCGGCGTCTTACAAGCGCTGCATTATACAGGGTGCGTTATGAAAGTAATGCGCATGGTTTCATTGTCACGTAACTACCTGTCGTAGCACGCTCGGACCTGTCTGAAAATTTGGGGCGGAGTCTCTCCTTTCCAACGCGCTCGGTCTCAGTTCGCTCTGAGCAATAGAAGTGGTAGGACGTGTCGTAGAGCGAAGTCATTTTTTCTGTTGTGTCACGGTGCGATAGAGCGTTCGCTGGAACAGCGGTACGCCATAAAGTTTTGTGTGCGACTTGGCAAAAATGCATCGGAAACTTATCAAAGGCCTTTAAGGAGGAGTGCATTTCGAGATCTCAGTGTGGAAGGTGGCACAAGGCCTTCAAGGAGGGTCGAGAGGAGGTCACCGACGATCCACGTTCCGGACGTCCAACAACAGCACGAATTGATGAAAACGTTCGCCGTGTGCGAGAAACTTTGAGTTCAGACCGTCGGTTAAGCATCCGGGCAATCGCTGACATCCTAAACTTGTCAACATTTGCGGTACATGGAATAGTGACGGAGGATTTGCAAATGCGAAAGGTCTGTGCGAAGCTTGTGCCGAAGGTGTTGACGGAGGAGCAGAAAAACGTTCGAGTTTTGCGCTGTGAAGAATTGTTGGAATCGATTAGAAATGATCCAGGTTTTTTAAATTTTATTGTAACTGGGGATGAATCCTGGATGTTCGAGTACGATCCAGTATCCAAACGACAGAGCTCCGAGTGGCATTTTTGCCAAGTCGCACACAAAACTTTATGGCGTACCGCTGTTCCAGCGAACGATCCATCGTACCGTGACACAACAGAAAAAATGACTTCGACACGTCCTACCACTTCTATTGCTCAGACCGAACTGAGACCGAGCGCGTTGGAAAGGAGAGACTCCGCCCCAAATTTTCAGACAGGTCCGAGCGTGCTACGACAGGTAGTTACGTGACAATGAAACCATGCGCATTACTTTCATAACGCACCCTGTATAATTAGATGATAAGAACCTATGGATAAATGAATAAAAGGCGAAGCCCTCGCAGTAGCGAGTCAGTTAGATTCAAACACCCGAATTGAACTCATTAAGTGTACGCACAAGTTTATACAATGTGTTATAGTTTAAAACTTGGTATACTTTGTCGTATTCGACTTTGTTTATTTTTCTGGTAGTAGCGGTCATTCTGGTTAGTTATTACGACCATTTCCAGTGTTTGGCTGTTAGTCCCACGTCGATATACAAAGATCCAAGTAATGTGTGAGGATTTAATACACAAGTATTGCACCACTAGTCAGTCGGTTCAGAGATATTTTGGAAATTAAGTCGTGTCTGCGATGCGAAAGAAATTCAAAAATATTCTATATTGTCTTAAATTTTAAAAACTTTTTGCTAGCCCCGGAAATAAATATCCATTTTTTAGTACCCTAAAAAAATCGTACCAGAATGTGCGAACTTGTGAAATATTTAAAACAAATATATAGAATAAAAGAATAGAGAAAGAGCCGACACGATTTGATGAAAACCTGATATACTTATGACGGCACTTTCGCAGGTTACAACAGGTAGGTAGCAAATCGCTGAGAAAATAGATTCTTGCAACGAAAACACAGATAGGAGGAGAAAGAATTTGCAAACGACGCAATTATTAAAGATGTGGTAACGAAGGCGACAAATCATTGATGACGAGATCATAAAAGAGTACCAACTGATGTAGAGGAGTGAACAATGAAAACGTTATTCTACGAAATCTAATTAGAAGTGGCTAGCGAAGGAGAAGATTACATATACTAATTAGGATGTAAGCTTTTGGGATTTGCTAAATCAAATCATTTAAATAATGAATTTATATACTATTCGTCCCGAATTCGTCGGGAGTAAAAGATGAGCTATAATTCTTGTCTGGGGACTTGCTGCTGCGCTGTTGGTAATGAATACTTAGAGAGGTGGCCTTCAATGATCTTAATGAGCTTATTTATGGGGTGAAAAATTTAAGAGAAACAATGGCATTCAATTTAGGTAAAAACGAATACATGCGCACCAGCCTTTAGAGATGTTTTTTTCTTCCTTTTAGTTTAATTAAGATCTGGAAATAATTTGCAGTGCAAATCTAGTTAAGGCAAGACAGGTGCCAAATCTTCATCGAATATATGCGTTAAAAGGCAACAGTTCGGATGTAGAAGAAATTTCCCAAGCGAATGCTGAAGCTGCCGCCGTACATAGCTGTAGTGAAAAGATAAGTGCTGGAAGTGCGAAAATATGGGGCATATCTAGGAGAACTGTTTAGCTGATCATAGTATCTTTTGCTGCGGCTGTGGTAAGCCAGACATCTACAAGTCGCAATTAATAACTTCGTTCTAAAAATGGTGATTACGGCTTTATTCACTTACACTGAACAGCAGGAAGATTCCTATAGTGTCTTAGTTTTTTTGGCAATCGGGGGGTTTTCCTAACTTTTCTTCGCATAATTTCATGTTTTAGTATTCCTACGGAAAGTACGACTCTTCAACATTTATTAACTACATAAACTAAATTGCTAATAGCTACTTGTAATTCTTTTACTTATTCTTATTATAATTATTATTGTTTGGAAGTTAGGGCTGATCTCAATCTTGTATGATTATATTGTTATCCATAGTTATGTTACTGATAATAATTGTAGGATGGTTTACATAAATCTTAATAATCTTCTCAATAGGTTTTGAAACGATATTATAAAATGATTTATGTTGTCCGTGGTAGATTGCGATCTGATGAAAATTATGGGGTAACATAAAGCCGTATTTTAAATAATTTGTATATGAACCTGTCCTACAATACAGCGGTTATAGGTCTAAGTCAATAAAAAATGATGGGTGAAAAAACTATTATTGTGTCGATAATCTGATCCTGATCCTGATCTGATGCAGGATGCTTCTAGGCGTGACAATGGGCCCAGTTATCAGCAGCCTCTGATTTTCCTTTGCCGAAATAATAAATCTGGCAGGTTTTTGCAGTTTTTGGGGGCTAGACAAAAAAACTATTGCAAAAAAAAAATATTTTGTTTTTCATTTTTTTACTGATTTCTGGATAGTCTTTGAACTCTCTATCTTTTAATATTCTACACTTTTCCGACAAAACTGAATTTAAATATATTAAGCATCAAAAACACCACATTCCCTATTTCTTAACAACCAACCCCTTTTGCGCAATGAATTTGGTATGAGCTGAAATTAGCGTATGACTACCATTTATAATATATAGATATAAGAAACTACTTCTAAATTAGCTTCATACGGTTATAACTTAATAATACCTCTTGTAAGAGACCATACCTCTAAACCAAGAGAACTCATTATTTATAACTTACATATCCACAACGGCTCAAAAGAAAATGCATGGGAGGGCTAATAAATATGTTGAATGAGTACACTTTAGATAATGCATCATTTTTTTTCCCAAAACGTAATACCAACTTCATTACTGGGATCCAAACAATCTGTCAATCAAGGATTCGGAAATAAGTTCGAATAGAGCAGTTTTTTAGAGATGTTTTTGTATCAGGAATTTTCGTTCAGTGCCTTCTTTAAAAACGTTGACATAAGTAACGTCTAAATTTTCAAATACATACTTATACTCGTTAATCGTAGAAAAGATTACTAGCCGAATCGTTCTGGCCATGTCCGTCTATTCGTCCGTCCGTCTGTCCGTCCGTATGAACGCCTCGACCTCAGTAACTGTAAGAGCTAGAAAGATTAGGCATGCAGATTACAGAGACATAACACAGCGCAAGTTTGTTAAATGATGTCGCCACGCCCTTTCTAACGCCCACAAACCGTCTTAAACGGTCCTGCCCACACTTTTGAAAATTGTGATATTTTTTTATTTTTGAATATCTTGTATCTTGTATATCTTTGTATATCTTGTAAATTTCTATAGATTTGACAACAACATTTTTTGCCACGCCTAATCCAACGCCCACAAGCCGCCCAAAACTGTCACACCCACTCTTCTGAAAAATGTTGTGATATATTTTCACTTTTTTATATATTTTGTAAATTTCTATAGATTTGCCCAAAATTTTTGCTACGCCCACAAACCGCCCAAAACTCTCACGCCCACACTTTTAAAAAATTTTTAAGTTTATTTTCATTTTATTATTTTCTCCCAAGTTTTTACCAATATTCCAGAAAATGTTGAAATTTCTCGTTTGCACTTCCACTAGCTGAGTAACGGGTAACTGATAGTCGGGGAACTTTTTTATTTCATCTTTTTTTCTTTCCAAGTTCTATTAATTGTTTAAAACATTTTAGCCACGACCACTTTAACGCCCACAAAGCTTCAAAAACAGCTACGCCCACACCATTGGACTTTTTTTTAAAATGTATTAATATTTTATTATTTTTCACTAGCTGAGGAAATGGTATCTGATAGTCGAGGAACTGGACTATAGCGTTCTCTCTAGTTTCATTTAATTTTAGGATTTTTTAAAAAGAGATATCAATAAAAACAAAAGTATTTAAATTTGCACTTAGTTCGTACTCTGTTGGCCACGCTTAACATGCTTGGTAGAGCATGCTGACTAAGAGCGCTAGGTGGAACGAACAAAGTAAGTTTTGAGTCTTTGATTCCCGGAAACCATTTTTTATCTAGAAGTGTTATGAGTGTCTGCTTGGTGTCTGAGTATGGCGCAGCGTTTTATTATAAAAATTTTGGTAATGCAATTACTTCCGTTGTGGCATGGTTCTGTTTGTGAAATAAAGACTGAAACAAATATTCATGATATACTAGGAAGCCATTTAATGCCTATTGATCTCTTTACGTTATGTGCAAAATGTCAGCTTAGAAATAAAATTTCTTATGAATTTACTGCCGTTTTACAATTGATGGCATATCACAGGTAAATGGTTATTAAATAACTTTATATGATGCTGGATATGTTTGATATGTTTTCAGAAAAATGATTCACAGCTTTATGATATCTAATTATCTTTCGAAGGAGATTTTAAATTCAATGAACATTAAAAAAAATACATTTATCAAAAGTGGAATTGAGAGGCATCGAAGAGATATACATTTTGAAGGAAAATCAAAGTGGTCGGACTTAAAATCCTCTGATGTGTTTTTGTTTGTGTCTAACGGATCCTTACAGTACAAGTCATGGTTTAAAAGGTATTGCCATTCTAATATACAAATTTTTAATATATCTAATAGTACGTAGAATAAGTTTAAATTATTTCGCAAAACGTTTCGGAAGGGAAAACAAATATTTAAATGAAATGCTTTTGTTTTTTTTTTGTGGTTTTTCTTAAAATGTAAAAACTGAAAAACGCTTCACAATATTCTGCAATTTAATATGCTCACAACTTATCGATTAAAATATTATACTAGAATTATAGATTGGTTTATGGTCTCAATAAAAAATATATTGGCCACGCCCACTCGTATGCCCAAAAATGTTGAATTCTTTACTTTTCCCTCCCTCTAGCTGAGTAACGGGTATCTGATAGTCAAGGAACTTCACCATTGGGTTCTTTCTTGTTTCGTTTGTTTTATTTTGTTGCTTTAAACGTTATCAAGCTTAGTAAAAACGCGATACCAGAAACATCCTTACTCTTACAGTATTCCTTGATATATGAAACATTAATATTAATATAATAATATTAATAACCATTAATTTAAATAGAAATAATGTCTTAGCCCTTGAACCCCTGAAGTTAGAGACTTGTGTCAATACAATAAATCAAAAATGTAGCTTTAGTTAGTTAGACTGTAACTCCGCACCCATCAAACAGCAATCAAATTCGCACATTTCATCGTGACATCAACAAATAAGCATAAATAAGCATGATGGGTGAAATTATACACTTTGTAGCCGGAATAAGTTTTCAGGTTGCCCTTAAACAGGTGAACAACGTCAATCTAATCACGGCTGGAAAATAGTTACTACGAGTATCCGCAGTCAATTTTTGAGCGCCTGAGCAGTCAGCATGGCCACCAGAGTCTCCTGCTCTCAAAAAGTTAGTTTATTTTTTTACGTTTCTCATAAATAATTTATTAAGTTTCTAATTGTGCACGCTGACTAGAAAGCCTTTAATTACAAGACATCAATAACAAGAATTAGGTATTGATGTCATATTTTTTATAAGTGTCATTTATTAGTCCATACTACTATACTTCCATACCACGATAAGAAGCAGTTGATATATAACATAGAACTATAATGCATGGCCCTTAAAGATTATTGTACCCGTAACTAGAGTAACATACAAAAGACACCGTTGCCGACCTTAGATATATATTTGTTATCCCGATCACTAGCAGAAATGATTTTCAGATGTCCGACCGCCGGTGCTATCCGAATGAGCGCCGAGATCTCGGATTTAGGCGCTTTTTTTTAGTAGAATTCCACACAGTTTGTGCGCACAAAAACCGCCCAGAACTGTCAAGCCCATAGTTTAAATAACAATAGATTGGCAAATATCGCCCTTCCGCTTTATTGCTCTTTATTCAATGCTTTATAAAAAGTGTTACAGTGATCGGATTTAGTTCAAATATGCGCCGTTTTGTTCGATAATCTGTTTCCATCTAGACGGCAACTTCATAATACCTCCCTCGTAGAAGCCCCCCTCCTTATTTGCGAAGAACTCGGACAGCCACTTTTCACAAGCCTCTTTTGAGTTCAACTTTACACCACCAAGGGCATTCTCCATGGACAGGAACAGGTGGTAATCACTTGGCGCTATGTCCGGGCTATATGGTGGATGCGATAAAACCTCCCATCCGAGCTCCGGTAGCTTCTGACGAGTCATCAACGAAGTGTGTGGTCTGGCGTTGTCCTGGTGGAACACTACACCCTTCCTGTTGGCCAATTCTGGACGCTTCTGGTCGATCGCCTGCTTCAAGCGGTCCAGTTGTTCGCAGTAGATGGTAGAATTAAGCGTCTGGCCATATGGGAGCAGCTCATAGTGGATGATTCCCTTCCAATCCCACCAAACACACAGCAAAACCTTCCTGGCCGTCAATCACGGCTTGGCCACTGTTTGGGACGATTCACCGGCCTTCGACCACGACCGTTTTCGCTTGATATTGTCGTATGTGATCCATTTTTCGTCGCCAGTCACCATCCGCTTCAAGAATGGGTCGAGTTCGTTCCGTTTCAGCAGCATATCGCAGGCGTTGATTCGGTCCAGAAGGTTTTTTTGCTTCAAATCATGCGGCACCCAAACATCAAGCTTTTTTTTGTATCCAGCCTTCTGCAGATGGTTTAAAATGGTTTGGTGACTAACTCCCATCTCCTGGGCGATGTCACGAGATGCCACATGCCGGTCTAACTCGATGTATTCCATGATTTGATCGGTATTTGTCGTCACAGGTCTTCAGCCGGCTGGCTTATCCATGGTGTCGTTTTCACCGGCTCTGAATCGTCGAAACCATTCCTCCGCGGTTCGAAGTGATAGAGTACCATCCCCCAAAACACCATTAATCTCACGGCACGTTTCTCTGGCGGATTTGCCTTTAACGAAGGAAAACTTTAAAATAGCGCGAATTTCGGCGTTAGTGAACTCCATGTTTACACGTCTATAACTGTTGAACGCAATATCCAAACTAATCATGCGTCGTTTTGTAGGTTATGTCAAGACCTTTCAAATTATGTATAGTATTGCCAGATACGAGCTCTGTAGCGCTTTGTACATAGCCGCGAAATTCAAAAGACAAAAAAGGCGGAAGGGAGATATTTGCCAAACTAATCTATAAATATTGTTTTTTATTTTAATTCTAATGAAATGTCAAATGTTTTTGACACATCCACAAACCGCCAAAAGCTCTATGTGTGTTTGACATGGATGGTAACCGAAACATCATCAACATCTAGAGAAACATGGGTTGTAGACAAAAAAGGGACCGATGCCGACGGCAACAAAAAAAAAAAGACTGGTAATCGATTTCAGGAAACTGAATGAAAGAACCATTGCCGATCGGTACCCTATGCCAAGTATTCCTATGATTCTAGCGAACTTAAGAAAGGCAAAATTTTTTACTACCCTAGACTTAAAATCGGGGTACCACCAGATTTATCTGGCTGAAAAAGACCGCGAAAAAACTGCTTTCTCCATAAACAGAGGAAAGTATGAATTTTGCCGTCTACCTTTTGGTATCAAGCTGTATCAAGCCAACATGAAAGGAAAAGGTAAAAACCATACAAGAGTACACTGAACCAAAAAATTTGTTCAGTCTCAGGTCTTTTCTTGGATTGGCTAGTTACTACAGAAGTTTTTTCAAAGACTTCGCTTCTATAGCTAGACCACTTACCTCAATACTTAAGGGAGAGAATGGCAGTAAACACACTGTTAGTAAACACATGTCAAAAAAAGTCGCTATTGATTTTGACGATACCCAACGCAGAGCGCTTGCGAGATATTCTGTCATCTGAAGATGTGATACTTACTTATTCAGACTTCAAACTTCCTTTCGATTTGACAACCGATGCCTCAGCAAGCGGTATTGGTGCGGTACTATCCCAAAAGGACAAACCAATCACAATGATATCTCGCACATTAAAAGACTGCGAGGTTAATTACGCAACAAACGAAAGGGAGTTACTAGCAATTGTATGGGCTATTGGGAAATTGCAAAATTACCTATATGGCACCAGAGAAATCCTGATTTACACGGACCACCAGCCGCTCACCTTCGCTGTGTCCGAGCGGAACACTAACGCTAAAATAAAACGATGGAAAGCATTCATCGAAGAACACAACGCCAAAGTGTTCTATAAGCCTGGAATGGAAAATTTTGTGGCCGACGCCTTGTCCCGTCAGAAAATTAATGCCTTGGAAAGTGAACTCCATTCCGACGCAGCCACTGTGCATAGTGAACTGTCGCTGACCTATACGGTCGAAACCACCGATAAACCTTTGAACTGTTACAGGAATCAAATAATCCTGGAAGAATCAGGCCAGCCCTCACGGCGACATTTTATTGTTTTTGGAAACAAAAACCGACACATTATCAGCTTTGATAAGAAGGACTCGCTGCTTGGATCGATTAAAGAAGTTGTAAACGTAAATGTTGTCAATGCTATTTACTGCAACCTCCCCACACTAGCATGCATCCAGCATGCCTTGGTTACGGAATTCCCAGCAACCAAGTTTTGGCATTGCAAAAACTTCGTTAATGATATCACTGATGCTAATGAGCAGAGGGAAATTACTACATGCGAGCATAACCGCGCCCACAGGGCTGCCCAGGAAAATGTTAAAGAAGTCCTTCAGGACTACTATTTTCCAAATATGGCAAGACTCGCCAACGAGGTGGTTATAAATTGCAAGACATGTACCAAGGCCCAGTACAACAGGCACCCCAAGAAGCAAGAATTGGGTATCACCCCAATTCCTTCATATACGGGCGAAATGCTGCATATAGACATCTACTCCGCGGATAAAAAGTTATTCTTAACCTGTGTGGATAAGTTCTCAAAGTTCGCCATAGTACAGCCATTAACCTCTAGGGCCATTATTGACGTACGCAGCCCCATACTACAATTGGTAAATTTTTTTCCAAATACCAAAACCATATACTGCGATAATGAGCCATCTTTCAATTCGGAGACCATAACTTCGTTATTGAAAAACCAATATGACATTGACATCGTTACTGCACCCTCTTTACACAGCAGCTCCAACGGGCAAGTGGAGCGATTCCACAGCACCCTATCGGAAATAGCTGGGTGCATTAAAATTGACAAAAAAGTTGACGACACCGTCGAGCTCATCATGAGAGCCACGGTAGAGTATAACAAAACGTTACACTCAGTCACAAATTTGCAACCTAAACATGCCTTACATTCTGCAAGCGACGCTCAGAGGTTGGCAATAAAAACCAGTATCATAAAAGCGCAACAGGCTAACCTAGCGAGGTGTAACCCTACTAAGCAAAACCGAATTTTTGAGGTAGGTGAAAAGGTTTACCTCAGAAACAATAAAAGGTTAGGAAATAAACTAACCGCACACTACACAGAAGAGCGTGTAGAAGCAGACATGGGAACGTCTGTCCTCATTAGAGGGAGGGTGGTCCATAAGGACAACCTTAGATAAAAAATTCCCTCTTGAATTTACATCTCCCACAATTTTTATGTCTTTATTCATGCACCTTATATTTAAGCATACTTA